CACAATGGCATAAGGGACAGAAGATAAGAGTTATAATGGTTATAGAGCTCTATGTAAAGAAGTTGCTCATAACTCTATCTAGAGGCACTATTCATAGATCCATGTCAAATAGGAGGTGGAAAGGAAGGCCATGGTGCCTGCTTCTCCTTACCCCATCTCTTCGGTCCCTGGTGAAGGCACTTGCCAATGGCTTCATGAGTTTCCTGTGTCAGAACCTGGAAAGAGGTGGGTCTTTGGTGATATTTGGTGTGGGGAAGAAGATGGGATGGCTTGAGGAGCAATGTCAAGACCATGATGGGTGACAATGAAGGGTGGAAGGCAGCAGGAAAGGAGGAGGACCAAACAAGGGAGGGATTAACTCTATAAAAGAAAACACAGACTTGAGCTGAGCCGTTCAAAATAGGATCTTTTGGAGACCTCTCATTCATAGGGACGCCATAAGTCAGAAGTAACTTGAAATCACACAAAAACAATATAAATTGGTGTTTATAAATCAAGGCTTTTTTCTAAGCATCCTGGTTGACAGTGCCATCTGTGATGTACAGTTCTTTCTATTCCCACCACCTTTGTTCTTATCAGTGGATACTGATCCTGCAGATAAGGGTGTGTTACTGTATCCTCCAAAGCAAAGAAATTTAGACTACAACTCAACCCACTTTTCCTTGCATAGAATGCAAGAACACTAATGCATGTGTGCTGTTCCTTCACTTCCACCCAAAGTCAGTGCTGCAGCATAATCCCTCCAGCTGTCGCACTCCCTACATTGCAGAAAACTGCCAGTGTGACAGAGTTAAAGTAAAACACCACCAGCTTTGGCAGGATCAGTTGTCACAAGCAGCAGATTTATGATGCAGTCCTATCCAGTTACGTTATATTTACTAATTTAATCCAGTCAATGGGTATTTGGGGGAAGCAAGTCTCATTGTTAAACTTAGTCCTTGGTAAGCACCGAAGTTTATTTTTTTGGAGAGAATTAAAGAGTGCAGCTCATGTGTTTACTAGGAGAGGAAGTTAAGGTACAAAAGGGGTGCATCAATGTGACCATATCTGAGTGAGGATGTGCAAAGTTTTTCTATATTAGTCATTTGGGTATAACTTCAACTGTACTTTTTAAAATTTAAATCAAAGTGAGGGTTTTTTGTTTGTTTTTTGCTTTTGGGCACATTGCATTAAATAAGTAAATTCCCAACAGAGGCAAAGAGATAAAAAGTTTTATAAACTTAATGGCCATATATTCAGGGTCTCACCTAGTGAATAAAGTCCAGTATGTATTTGCCACTTTCAGAGACACAGACAGAAAGCTTACAAAATCATACAAGTTTATTTAACCAGAAAGAGGAAACAGAAAACCTCTAAATTATAACAATAAACTTTAATTATTGTGGGGATTTTTATTTGTATAGATATATGTGTGTGTGTCAGGAAAATTATTGTTAAGTCATTGGCGAGAAATATGTTAAATCCTCAATAGCTTATTGCCTCACTTAGCCATTGCTGACCTCTAGATGCTAGAACAGTTTCTCGTATTCAAGAAAGAAAAAAGTCTTATGGAAAATCAACTAACAATGGGACCTTCTTCAGCCTTCTTTGTGTATGCAGCCAAGCGAACATGGTGACGTTGGAGTCTTGAGATTCTGGGCCCATCCAAGTTGTGAGCTTCTAAAATCCAGAGGGAAGGAGAGGCCCTTACCTTTTCCCACCCTTCACATCACACAATGATGCTCTATGCAGAGACGTACAACTGGAGGCCCATCACGCATGCATCTTCCTTAAAGAGAAATACCGACAAAGCCATCCCATCTCGAGTCGGCCTCTAGTCCACGGGGCAGCAGAGCTGTTCTCCCAAATCTTACCCCAGCTCTGCTCCAAAGATCTAAGCTGGACATTCCAAGAAATGACAGTAGGAATTGTTGAAAGCAAACTATTTCTAAGGGGTGGGACAGAAGTGGAACTGCAGAAAGCCCCTTGTTCAATCCCTGGCATCTCTCATCCAAAGAATCTGCTTACAGACAAGCCAAATCATGCCTCTCCATGCAAACGGGTGGCATCCTCATTTTTTGATTATTAAGAGAAATCAGAATCATAGAATAATGGAGTTGGAAGGGGCCTATAAGGCCATCCAGTCCAACCCCCTTCTCAATACAGGAACCCAAATCAAAGCAGATCTGACAGGATGGTGGTCCAATTTCCTCTTGAACGCCTCCAGCTTTGCAGCGCTCATCACCTCCCGTGGTGATTGGTTCCATTGTCGTACTGCTCTAACAGTTAGGAAGCTTTTCCTGATATTTAGCCTTACTTGTTACTCTTAAACATTGGCGAGGGCGGTCATGTTTGACCCTTTTTTGTATTCTAGTGAGTTTTAAAAATAATCACACTTGGAAATAATGCACCACTGATGTTTTTTCTAATGCATTGCGCTTAGAATAATGGACTGCTTTGACCAAGGAGAAGTCTGGACAGAGATGTTATCCTGGAGAAAGGAATTCCAAAACAACAACAGAAGCACTCTTAAAAGGAGTCAGTAATAATCATAATGATGATGATCTTAGTACTGCAGAGCTGGAAGGGACCCTACGGATCAATAGGTCCAGCCCGTCAAGGAAGCCCATCGGGGAATCAAACACCCAACCTCTGGCTCCACGGTCAGATGCCTTAAACCACTGAGTTATCCAGCAGTTCACTAAATTGTGAATAAATAAAGGCACAAGCCAGGGTCACGGCTGATGATCAATATGCTGTTCTTTGTAGAGCCTACTTTTCTTTTAATGCATTGATAATGACAGCTAAAGAAATTGAATATTTCCAAAGTTCAAACACTAACAGCAATGCATTTCTCTCCCGATTTCGAACGCTGAACTCCAGTGAATTCATTTTCGTACCTAGTGTTCCAGTCTCTAATGTCGACTTCATCTTTACTTCTTGGTTCATCCCAAACCTGTTCTTCTAGGGCTTACCACATGCTAGGATCTTCTATTTATCTCCCATTTCCTCCCACAGGATCAAGGAGCAGCCATCAATCTATCTGAAGGATGCTTATGCATCTACTTTTTATCTCTGCAGTAAATCATTTCCTGAGTTCCTCTACTTGCTGGCTTCTTGTCTTATGACCAAATCCTCACCCTACAGAGGAAAACCCCCATTCCCCCCCCCCGCCCGGGTGTGCAGTGATTCCAGCTGAAAGGTCCAAACGTATCTTCTCCCAGACATCTGTACAGGAGAAGAGACGAGGCGAAACCTACGGAGAAGAAAAAGCAGCACACCTTGCCAAATGGGTGAACAGCAAAGAGGGTCTCCCACCAGGATGAGTCTCCCGCAGGGCCCTTTGGAACATTTGGAAGACATTGAATAGACGTCGAAACAAAGTAGGACGGTCAAAAGATAATCCACTAATATGGCGCTATGTGGATAGAGGACAAATTTCTTGTGACTGTGGAGAAACGCAATCAATGCGACACTTCTGCATATGAAATTTATGCCTCACCGCATTTAAACAAAAGAAGACCTAGCAAATGACCAAGAAATCGCTATTGAAGTAGCCTGCTTCTGGTCAAAATTAGTCTAATTATCTGAATATTTTTAATTTGTTTTTAATTTTACCTCTTTCACATATGTCCATTGTTTTAAAATTGTGCAACGCTGTGATATGAATAAAGAAAGATGGTCTGTATTCATAAACAGGCATAGGAGGAGAGCATAAAAAACTCTGCAGAGCCTTCCAGCTGCATCATCATTCTCAAGTGGGTACCATTCTCATTCAGAGGGTGACTAGGTTTGCAACATAAACCAAGTTGTGGTTTGCAAAATTCTGGTGTGTTGTTGTCTTTTCTCCCTTTCTCGTTAAGGCTGGAACCCAAAAGGGCCATATGCCAAGATGAATGATAGGCGATATAGGACACAGGGAAAAAAAGTACTTTTTTACAAAGTTCTGAGTTTAGTTGAATTCACTCCCTGATGTCTAATAATGGATGTTAACTCATGCAGCTTTGAAAGGGGAATTAGACAACATTACAGAGGATGCTGCTGCTGATCATGATGGATACATATACAGTAGGACCCCTGTATCTGCGGGGAATCGGTTCCAAGCCCTGCCCCACAGATGATGAAAAATATGGATTGTAGCAAATGCTACTTTAGTACAGTAGGGGATTATACACATAGCATGATCTCTGGCTCCCTCTTATGGCCAGTTTGGGTAATTACATCATAGATATATACAGTACAGTGGCACCTCGCTTGACGTTGATAACCCGTTCCAACAAAATCGCTGTTAGGCAATATCATCGTCAAGCGAAAGAAAAAAATCCATTGAAATGCATTGAAAACCAGCTAAATGGGCAAAATACCTCATCGTCCAGCGAAGATCCTCCATAGGGGAAGCCATTTTCGGTCACTGTCTTCCGGAAACAGGTCCGGAAAACAGCGGACGGCCATTTTGAAACCCGACGATCAGCTGTTTTTGATCATTGTAATGCGAAGAATCGGTTCCCGAAGCAGGGAACCGACTGTCATGAAGCGGATTTTCCCCTTTAAAACATTGTTTTGCGATCGCAATAGCGATTGCAAAAATCTCATCGTGAAGCGATTTAGTTGTGGAGCGGGGTAATTGTTAAGCGAGGCACCACTTGTGGAGCGGGCTAATTGTTAAGCGGGGCACCACTGTACTGTATTTTGCTTGTGAACACTATAGCATGGTCTCTGGCTTCTTCTAGTGGCCAGTTCTGAAAAATTCATCTTTAGAAATACTCTGTTTCCCTGACAATAAGACCTAACCTGAAAATACGACCTAGTACGATTTTTCAGGATGCTCGTAATATAAGCCCCACCCCAAAAATAAGCCCCAGCTGAATGAAATCCTGCCCTCCACCCTTGCGCAGCAACCAAAAGAAGATGACATGACTATCTGAATAAATGCAGATGGTTGTACATGGAAAAAAAAATAAAACATCCCATGAAAATAAGCTCTAATGCATTTTGGAGCAAAAATTAATATAAGACCTGGTCTTATTTTCAGGGAAACACGGTATGTTCAAGATTTTTAATATTTTTAACATTTTCAAACCGTGGATAAACAAATCAGTGGATATGAGGGCCCTATTGCCTATTCCCTTCACTACCTAGTATGCCTCCATGTACCAGGGGAAGTGGCTACGGCATGCTAGGCTTGGTTGCGGGTTCCACCCTGGCAACTGTTTAGCCCTAAAGTCTGGCCTAAAATGGCCTTTGATCTGGTCCTCCTTTGGGGCTCTTTCTGAACACCTCCTCACAGGCTATGGTTAGTCAGCGGCAAACCACAATTACGACGCCAAGATTTGTTGTTGCCATGTGAAATATGGCTTACACTGAAAGACGGCTTAGCATCAGACCTCAGGACCGGGGCTTGTCCTTGGTTTGTTTTTCTGGCTTCCTGCTCTAAAATACAAGTGCGGGGGGGAGGTAGGTGGAGGGAAAACAGACCAAAAATGGGGGAAATGGATGGTAGTTTGTGGGTTAATTCCGCAGAAATCAAACAAACAATGGCACAGCATAATGTGTAAGTGCAATCAGGCCAGCACACACATTTTTTGTTAAAACAATAAAATGTTATTGTTTAGATCAGCGATTCCCAACCTTGGGTAACCCAGATGTTCTTGGATTTAAATACCCAGAAGTCTTCGCCACGAGCTATACTGGCTGGGACCTCTGGGAGGTGAGGTTCAATAACCTCTGGGCACCCAAGGTTGGGAACCACTGGTTTAGAGTCACAGACTGAAAGGGGCCCAAATCATGTTCTGTTCCATGTAGCATTTTATGAAACGGGGAGGGCCAGAACAGAGAGCCCAGTTCACTGGCCAACTCGTACAGCACCTGCTGGTGGTCGGGATCCTTGCTTTAAAAAAAAGAAAAGACTTGGAAGTCCTCGATTTAAGCTATCAGAGAAACACTGGGTTCAACAGGACTTCATCTTACAGAAGTCCAAAGGGAATTCAGAAGCAGCCTTCCTAACTGCTGTAAAACTAAGAGGGGCTGTTATTATTGCTCTCAGGTCTCGGTTGCAGGCTTCCCAGGGACGTCAGGCTGGCCGCTCTGGAGGCCGGACCCTAGTTCAGTGATACAGGCCATGCTTCACATGCAGAAGGTCCTACGTCCAATTCCTGGCATCTCCAAGGAAGGCTAGGGAAGTATCCTACGTCATACCCTGGAGTGTAAGGTACAGCGTAGAGAGTCAGTGTAGACAGTCCTGAACTCGGGAGTCCTAAGTCTGCGTAAGAGGCTGCGGACTCTATTCCTCAGAAGAGCGAATGCTCGAGCTGTGTTATGTCTGCAATCCGAGCACTCATGTGGTCGACTCTCGAGAGTGGATCCTCTTATGCCTCCTGAGGGAGGCTTTGTGGCCAAAGCTCTGCCCGCAATCCGAGCACTCGTACGGCTTCTCCCCCGTGTGCACCCTCCGGTGGTTGACGAGGTTTGAGTTCGTGCTGAATTTCTGCCCACAATCGGCGCACTGGTACGGCTTCTCTCCCGTGTGGACCCTCCGGTGGTTGACGAGGTTCGAGCTGGTGCTGAAGCCTTTCCCGCACTCGCCACACTCAAAGGGTTTCTCGCCCGTGTGGGTCCGCTCGTGGATGAGGAGTTTGGAGCGGCTGATGAAGCTCTTGCAGCAGTAGGGACACTTGTGGGTCTCTTCCCCCACCACCAGTGCTTTCTTCCCTGTGTGCAGCCTCTCGTGTTTCCGGAGGTAGGAGCTCGAAATGAAGCTCTTCCCGCACTCGGCGCACTCGTACGGCTTCTCCCCCGTGTGGGTCCGCCCGTGGATGATCAGGTCGGCCTTCTGGTTGAAGCTCTTCCCGCACTCCAGGCATTCGTACGGCTTCTCCCCCGTGTGCGTTCGGAGATGGATCACGAGCTGCGGCCGGTGGACGAAGCTCTGCCCGCACTCGGAGCACTTGTAGGGCTTCTCTCCCGTGTGGACCCGCTTGTGGGTGATGAGGTTGGAGCTGGACGTGAAGCTCTTCCCGCACATGGGGCACTCGTAGGGCTTCTCCCCCGTGTGGGTCCTCTCGTGGACAATGAGCGAGGCCTTGTCGCTGAAACTCCGCCCGCAGTCGGAGCACTTGTAGGGCTTCTCCCCCGTGTGGACCCTGGTGTGCTTCATGAGGTTGCAGTTCGTGCTGAAGCACTTCCCGCACTCCGCACACTTGTAGGGCTTCTCGCCGGTGTGGGTCCTCTCGTGGATGATCATGTGGGCGCTGTTGTTGGAGATCTTCCCACAATAGGTGCAGGTATACAATTTCTGCATCTTCTGGTTCCGGGGACAGTCCAAGCTGTGGCGCAGGACCGTTCCCCAGCTGGGGGCCGTCCTTTTTCTCCTCCCCTTGGGGGCTCCAACCTCTGGGAAGGGGCCTCCTTGCAAACTTTTGCCGCGAAGAAAAGCTTGGATCTCCGTTTGGTGTTCACGGCGGATTCCGTGGCTCTGCTCGCCTCCCGGCGTCCCGCCCAGTCCGCAGACCTGCAAAAGCTTCCCGTTGAGTCTCGCCAAGGACACTCCACTGAGGCCGACATCCGGGTGCCTTTCAAAGGGAAAGCTCTCGTCTCCGTTTTCGTACCCTTGGGAGCTTCCTGCTGAAACAAATGTGGAACGAGAACCTGACTTTTAGTCTCCACTCAACAACGAGGCTTTGAATAGGGGGAAATAATAATCATGTGCCGTCAAGTCAATTCTGGCTTATGGCGGCCCTTTCCAGGGAGAGAATACGCAGAGGTGGTTTACCCTTCCCTTTCTCTAGGGGGAGCCCTGGGACTGTGCAGCTTGCCCAAGGCCACCCAGGCTGGCTCTACCGTGAGGATTCAAACTCCCGACCTCTGTCTCCAGAGCCAGATGTCGAAACCACAGAGCTATCCAGCCAGCTGAACAGGGAATGCAGAGATGCAAAACGCTAGAAAGACAGGGATTCCTTGTTTGTTTTAAGCCATAAAAACAAACCAATTCAAACAGGGAGTAGCCAGACATCTATTTCCTATTTGTGTCCTCTCGTCAATAAGCCCAATGATCTGTCATGGGACCGAGCCGAGTCTTCTGATGACTTTCATGAAACTGTCCGCTAAAGGCACAGAAAAACTTATGGGGGAAAAGAGCTATAAGGAAGGGAAGGTTCTCCATCCAGGTCTCCTCTCCCTTCTTAAGGCTCCTCCTGGCAGGCCAGCAGGAAAGGAAGTCCCTCTTATTTCTGATCACTGATCGGAGACAATGGAGACTCCGTGCCTGCCATTAAATGCAGGCGAGCAGCTGAGTAAAGAGGCTCCTAATGGACTGTTGCCCTTTTACTGATAAGTTCCTTAAATTTGTTTCCAAGTTCAACAGGGTTTAAATATTATCCTGTTGCTACAACTTACGCTGTGCAGGGCATAAAAATCAGCAGTGGTGCACTTTCAGAAAAGAAACATGCTCCGCTTCTCTCCCTAAGGCTCCCACAGAATTTTTCACTTCCGGGAACCCATGGGAGTCACAGAATGGAGGGCGAAAGTCTTTAATAACTGAAAATCCATGCCGCCAACAAAGGTATCCTGGCAGAATGGTTTCTGATCATTAAAGACTTCCTCCTCCTGTCCCATGGCTCCCTGACCATGACAAGGATTCCATGGGAGCCTGGAGGCCTTCAGGAAAGGATTAAGCAATGTTGAATTTCTGAAAAATCTCCACTGCAGATGGCCATCATTAGCCTTATGTGGCGCTGAGTTATGGCAATGGGATTCCAGCCAATACATTTAAATACAGTGGTGCCTCGCTTAGATTCCAGCCAATATATTTAAATGTTACAGGTCAGAATCTTACCGGCGTTTGCATAAGGTTTGTGTAAACTGCCTTGGCTAATTGTGGCTAACTGAAAGGTGCCGGGAAATGTTTTGGTCACAGGACTGGTCATATGTCTGATTGTGCAACTGGGATGTACCCCAGCGCTTCATCAATCAGCTGCAACTAGCTGTGAGAAGTTATTCAAACTATATGCAAGCGCCAAACGGATTCCAGCTAAAATGTCTTTGTGTACTAATACTACTTTGTTTGCCTATCTTAGAGCGCCCCCCCCCGAGCGCCAGAAGTGCAAAAATAAGATGGGGATCTAGACCAAGTAGCCCATACCCAGAAAGCTGGCTTCCCCATCGCTCCCATCCTCAGCCTCTGCCGAGAGCCGGACGTTAATTTCCTCGGAAGGATCTTGCTCCGATTTGGGAGAATTCGTGGTCGTGTCTTCCAAAGGCCATGCAACCTGACACAGAAACAAGAAAAGACAGAACAAACAGGGAAACTTAGAGGAGTCCCAATGGCAGAGATGATAGGTGAGCGAATCACCGCAAAAATCACCGAGAGAGCAGTTTAGATCACAACCGTACACAATAAATCTGTTCTTCTGCAAGCAAACAAAGACAAAATTTCTCTTCAGGCAAACGTCCCCTGAGTGACTGGCTGCCAAGTGGGTGTTTTTTTTAATGGATGGTTGTGCCTTGTTGCTTTGAATACATTTTTTGGTATTGCTTTTATTCACCATTTTTTAAATGTGGTATTATTTGCAATACTTACTGTTTTTAGCTTTAAATATTGCCTTTGGGTCTTTTAAAGGAAAGTCGGGATAAAAATATTTTCAACAAATAAATAAATTAGGCCGCCTTGGGTCCTTTTTAAGGAGACAGGGAGGGTAAAAAATATTTTCAATAAATAAACAACTCTATGGAGGAATTCCATCTCTCATTTTTGCTTTCTCGGGGAATCCCAACTTGCCAGATCTAAATAAAGGGAACCCAAAAAGCTATAAATTTGGCAAATTCTTCAAAAGTGAATGGAAATGAAGTTCTCCACTCAAATTTAATACATACAACGATGCCCATTATGAAGAGGACCTGATCATACTGCCTGCTCTATTGGTGGTATGCAAGGATTTAAACTCAAGCTTTTTAAAAACGAAGTGCTCCAAAAACCTCTACTTGGAGGGAGAGATGAATCCCTTGGTTTCTGTTTCTCCCGCATTCAATTTTTTAAAATCACAAATCGTTGCCATCCCAAACATGAACAAATTAGAAAGCCTGTGGCAAATTATACATACGTATATGAAACAAACTGAAATGAAATGCTACTGCATCCCCACTTCTGGGGAGAAAGGAGCAGAATGGCCTCAATGGAGCTTTCATTTGAGCTTCACTTCTATTGCCCAATTTATATCGTCTCATCTTGGCTTAATCCAGAATATAGGGGAGATCTAGGCAAGACGAACATCACAATCCACCACTGAGTTAATAATTTCCTCTATTTCCAACTACCAAATTCTGGGAGGTCTTGCAGGGACTGCCCACAGCTGTTCAGGGAAACCACATTATTTGCAAAAGTACCGCCCTCGTTAAACAAACAAGCAAACAAACCCGTTAGAGAACCCTCTCTTTGCCCAAAAATGGATGATGACCGAGTATGCTAAGCAGTACAGAATGCTTGATTCAGGGCTAGATACGTTGAGGTCCTAGCATTATGCTGTGACAAGTATAAAAGGCCACACTGCGTTTTAAAAAAAAAAGACAGAAGGAAGGAATTACATATCTATTATACCACCTATCATATAAAACTTGAAATTTAGTTTTTGAAATTTCAAAACCTTTGAAAGCCTCTAACACTGGAAGCATTCAAGAGAAAACTGGGCCACCATCCTGTCAGATCTGCTCCGACTTGGATTCCTGCCATGAGCAGAGGGTTGGACTCGATAGTCTTACGGGCCCCTTCCAAATCCTTTATTCTATGATTCTATAAAATGTACTTAGAACACTCTTAAAATCAGTGTTTTTAAGTCAAGAGTGGGCAGTCCAGGAGAATTTGAAGGCCACGCCTGCATCCTAACCCACCTGAACCCCCTGAAGGTGGCACCTTCCTTTTTCTGCAAACTGGAAAATTGACTGGTAAACTGGGCCAAAACTAAGCATGTGTGAGAGAGGGCGCCTCGCTGTTGTTCAAAACTGCAATCTGCCGTGGCTTTCAGAAACAGGCAACTCCGCAAACCTCTGAACAGAGCCCGGGAGTGATCTGCAGCTGATATAGTCTCCATGTGACTTTTGCACTCATCCGACTCTTGGTGACAAGGAACAGAAGGGGTGTCATCCTGAACCAAAGCACTCCGCACTGCAACATTCTGGTGCAGATCAGGCTTGCAATAATACGTTGTATGTAGGTCTGTAAACCGAATGATCCTGTTGGGGCTTAGTTCTCAGCAGAGACTGCCAGAAAGATCAACAAGGGGGTCCTAGATCAAATCAAGCCTGAACTCTCTTTGGAGGCAAAAACATGGAAACTGAAGCTGCCCTACTTTGGGCACGTGGGGAGAAAAGGCAGAATTCTCAGAAAAAGACAGCAATGCTGGGAAAGACAGGAGGCAGCAGGAAAAGAGGAAGGCCAAATATGAGATGGGCTGACTCCCTAAAGGAAGCCACCGGCTTGAGTTTGCAAGTTCTGAGCAGAGATCTTGAGAACAGGACATTTTGGGGATGTCTCATTCATAGGGTCACCATAAGTCAGAGGCGACTGACGGCACACAACAACGTAACCACCACCACAACATGACCAGCATTGCCTTTATATATACAAACCCACTGACTTTCTCAGAGCTTTGCATTTCTAAATGGCAACTCTGCTCATCTCCTCTTTTCTTCTGCTAGGAGGGGGGAAATCAAATGTATTTACCTTTTCCTGCAGTCCCTCAGCCTCCTGCAACCGCAGTAAAAAATCCTCGGCCAGGGCCACTGCCTGGGTGCAGCTCTCTGGCCCGCCGTCCTTGACCCAGCTCTGCATTTCCTCCGGCAGGATGATCAGGAACTGCTCCAGCACGATCAGCTCCAGGATCTGCTCCTTGGTGCGCCTCTCTGGCTTCAGCCACCGGTGGCAGAGGGCCTGGAGCTGAAGGAGGACCGCACGGGGGCCCTCGCCCTCCTGGTAGCCGAACTGCCTGAAGTGCTGCCGGTCGGTTTCCAACCCAAAGGGATTCTCCTCATCCAGAAGCTCGTCCTTCACTTTGACTGAGGCTATTTGGCCTTCCCGGTCCTCTTCCAGGGCCGGCAGGGGCTGGGTCACACCATCCCTCTCAGGCCACAGGCTCGCATGAGAGACTCCTTTGTAAGGCGCCGCTGGAGGTTCCTCGATTCCATCCGGCAGAGTTCCAAGCCGTCTGACATTTTTCCGTCCTGAACGAGGGGGCTTCGTGGCCGTTAGGAAATCTCGCCACTGGGATCCCCAGCCCTGCTGCAGGCCCTCTTCCGGCTCCTGCTTAATCTGATCTGCCCCAACCAAAAACTCTCTGATGGTCCCAAATTGTTCTAGGTGAGTTTCAACCCTCTTGGGCTTTAGTTTCTCGGTGCAAATGGACTGCATCGCTCTCTGCTCCTCCATTTCTATCCCTGGAAGAGAAACAGAGCCCTTATGAACA